GTTATGGCCTCTCAAAGTTGGTATCAAAATTAGGGTTTCTTCCCACACTTAGAAAAAAATCCAAGTTATCCAAGTTTTCTTCTTTTGCGAGAAACCTCTCAAATCTTGTTTTCTTCATGATCAAACTCATTGATTAAACATTTTTGATGAAATTTGGCATGGAAGCTTCAATTTGAACCAAAAACTCTAAAAGTCAAAGAGTTGACTTAGTCAGATGAACTTTGTATCGGGTGGATTCAACTGTGTGATCTTCAATGAATTTGAATATTGAGACTTCTCAAACCCTAGATAGGCTTCAAGGATGTATATGAACATATTGAATCATGTCCCAAGGCTTGGGATCATGCTTGGATCAAAAGTCAAACGCATAGTGAACTTTTCCTAACAAAACCCTAATTTGGGGCCAGATGAAAATGGACTTAAACTAACTTGCAATGAGATTAATTAGCACTTGATTCTTGTTGAATATAAGCTCCTTGAATATAGGGGAAATTAATTTGATGATGACAAATCCAAAACATTAACTGATCAAGCAATAGTCCTTTCGATTCCCAAGGTGCAAAACCCTAATTCAGATGATCCTCAACAACAAAAACTTGAAACAAGGTTAGGGTTAGGAAACAATTCTTGATGCTTCTAGAATGATATGGAATCTAGGGGTCAAAATTTGGGGTATGACAGTTTCCCCTATTTGAATATCTTTACCAGATGGTATGAGAGATGACAATCTCCATAAAATCCTGGTGAAAGGTATTTAAATATAGTAAACTGGAAATTTTTCTCTTAGATGCAATGATATGCTAAGGACGACAAAAATAAGCAAGTGCTGACATGCTATGAAATCTACAATGGTGCTTTATGATGAGAAATGCACAGATGCAGACGCCCAAAGCAAATAAGAAAAAAAGCTAACACAATGAGTAACCACTCACTAGGGAAAGGAAGCAACATTGGGGAAGCTAAAACAAACCGGGGAAATCTAAAGTGATCAGGCACAAGGTCCAAACATGACCAGTATGACATGTCGCTACCGCGAAAATAAGGTGCCGACAAAACAGAAGAGTCTCCACCTTTCGTTATTTATCCCTCAGAGCGGGAAAGGAAACGATCGGAAAAACCTGACGAAAAGGTATAAGACAAGGTCATCGCAACCATTGTCTGGGTTCGGGAGTTGGTTACGCAAGGGGAAGGTATTAGCACCCCTCACGTCCATCGTACTCGATGGGATCCACGCTTGTTGTGTTTATCTGACGGGTTGGTTTATTTATCTACCTATCAAGGCTGGTCTGAAAAGGAAAAGAAAATGACTCGGCAAAGCGTCGCGCTTTATGCCTACGTATTCTCATCAGAGAATGAGAAATCAGAGTCAACGTAGTTCGGCTAACTACGGGTTACGGGGAAGGTGGCTCGCCAATACGTCAGTATTGTGCCTACGTACTCTCAACAGGCTTGAGAGATCAGAGCTTACGTAGTTCGGGATAATTCGGATAATGGGAATTCAGATTCATCTGTTTTATCGAGTAGGGTTAACAAACAGTTCCAGCAGTTTGGTGTACGCAGCTCGACCCTTGGAGACTTAGGCGTTACCGTTTGCGGTAGAACTGGGAGTTAACAACACTTTTTTCTTCAGAAAAGCATCCTTTGAATTATGGGCCCACGGGGCTAAAAGGTTTGAAGTTTGTTTTCTGTCTTTTACGGAAGAACTGTTTTTTATGGATGTTTGCAACCAATATCACACTAGAGACTATGACCTGAGAGTGAATGCGTCGCATGTCACCCAAAGGGTACCATACTAAACATCCAGACTGTTGAAAAGAAACTCTCCAACAATCCTTTCTCAGATAGCTTAAGGCTCGTAACGTACGACGTCAGTTAACCCTTTATTACTGTATTTTAATTTGTTTTGAGATGAGAAGAGAGAACGAACAGGTTCAACTACCGGGAGACTATCAAGTCCTAACAGTTGTCATGCCAAGGATTCATCCTATGGTTGAGGTTTGAAACAGGGAACTCCTAGAAGTTATCATGCATAGGTTTCAACCTAAAGTTCTAATCATCACTTCCTTATCAAAGGAAGTGAGATTCCTAGGGGATCACGTCGATGATAAACAGAAACAGATAAAGCATCAACTTAAACAGTAAACAGTAAACAACTGTAAAATGCATGCAATGCAAGTGAGGGAGGAAATGTGTGTGGGGCATCAGCCTCCACAAGCTCATCTCAACCTCAAGCCAGATATGAATAACGTAATCATACAGAGGAAATAACATGCTATCAAGCAAAATATGAGTGACTGTAATCATACAAAGGAAGTAACATGCTATCAAGCAAAATATGAGTGACTTGTAATCATACAGAGGAAGTGAAATATAAATGCCATCAAGCAGATAACAAACCACATAGGCAAGGGAGCTAGGCTCTACCGAATACCCGCAAAACAAAGCCATACAGTAAAAATACAAGTAGAGGGAGCAACTCAACTTCTAGTGCAATCATGCTTCTAGCTTACATCAGTCAAGATATGGACTTATTCTAATGCATCAAGCAAATCAAACAAGTCACAGCAATACAGTTGCACATAAAGCAAATAGACAGGAAAGAAAGCAGATCAACAGATTCCACAGCTTCACAGCAAAGCAGTCCTCTGACAGCAGTTTAGTCCTCAGTCTTCAACTGTTCTTCCAGGCTATTCTCTTCAATAGTAAATATCAACTTGCTTCTTCAAGCTTCCAATACATCAAACATAAGTATCAACTTATTGTTTCTTCTTCAAGCCTCAGCTCCAAAGTAGACTCCACCTTTAGGCTTCAATCCAAATTGCAAGTATCAACTTGTTCCTTCAGGCACTCAATGCACTAAACACACAAGTATCAACTTGTTCTCCAACTTCAAGCTTCAGCTTCTTCATCTGATCCCAACTGGATTCCCTTCATAAGTGTCAACTTATTCTTCTTAGTCTTCAAGCCTCAGCTCCAATGGCAGTCTTCAAGCACAGAGAAGTAACAACTTCTAACATCTTCAATCTTCTAACAAGTAATTCCATCCTCTAGCAAGGGAGAAAGATTCATCTAACAAGAGCAAGGTTTGGATGATTGACAGCAGACTGAAGACCAAAGGTCACCACTAAGCACTCCATCATCAGAGAAAGGGACCCTCAAAAGTTCTACCAACTTGTGAAGAGCCACACATCCTACCAAAGGAGGGATGAGGCCTTTACAAGCGGACCTTACATCATAGGGAAGAATGGAAGTGATCAACACCTTCCATGTTTATGAAAGAAGAGAATCTATCTAGAAGCTCTGCCTGCAAACCCTAATCTTAACACCTAATCAACACTACACCAAAAGAAGGGAAGTCTTCACATCCAAGCTTCTTCAAGCATTCCATGGTAGCCCAAGCTTGTCTTCAACATCATCCAAGAGTAAGAGAGGCAAAACCCTAATCTAAGGGAACTAAAGAAATCAATCTAATTGAATTAGCAAGTTAGGATCACCTAAAACCTAGTACTAAAGTTAATCCTAACTAAAATACTAAAACCAATTGTAAAATCCTACAAAAATAACTATGGGACCCTAATTCAATCATGAATCTACCATACAAAATCCAGAGGTTGAATAATTCACCAAGTCCTAGAAATAAAACCTAGATCACAAGGTACTAAGCATAAACCCTAAAAATAGAGCACCTAAAGTTTCAACTTAAAACTACCACCTAACTTCATCACAAAAATGTGAGAAAAATCTAAGGGGAACATGCATATCTATGCTAGCTACACAAAAAAAATCAAGTCAAGAATCATCACCAAATGCTCAAACAAAGTTCAACAAAACAAGGTATCAACCATGGCCATTTTAATATCAATTAATATTCAAAAAATGCAAATAAAATAAAAAATGCATGAATTCTTAATATTTTTAATCTACAAAATTCTAGATTCAATCATGAATCAGGGAAAAAAGTTTGGAATTAATTGAGTTAATTTCCTATTTTTTATGAATTAATCTTTAAGTCATATGAAATGTACAAAATAAAAGAAAATAAAAGAAATTAATAAAAACACGTGGTAAATAGCAATCCCAAGCAGTTCATTTCTTGAGTTGGGCCCAGGAGGGGGTGTGGATAACAAGGACTTCATAGGCCCAGGCGCTTGGATCCACTTGCATTTTCTTCAGCAATTAAAATGAAAGAAAAACACACACAAGCCATGGTTTGAACTCATGCTCAC